TGTGTGTGTGTGTTTCTCTATGTAGCCTTGGTGGTTGTAGAATTCACTCTGTAGACCAGGCTGGCCTTGAACTCACAGAGATCCCCCTGCCTCTGCCTCTGGAGTACTGGGATTAAAAGCATGTGTTACCACCTGCCCAGCTGTTATTTTCTAGCCACTGTAAACCAGCAGAACCACTCAGAGATGGACTTTACCCAATGGCTCCACACATATCCTCTTACTGCAGCCTGTGGAAAACCTTTGTTAACCCCTCCCTAGAGATGACCAGAACATACACACCAAAGCCAAACAAACATCTGAAGGTGATTCAGTCCATAAAGACAAGTTCATCTAGACCTCAGTTTTCAAATTCTTTATAGTTCTAGGACACCACATAGGCCCATGTGGCAATGGACCAGAGAGGGCCCATCAGGTATCAGCAGCTGGGAGAAGAATCTGTCTTCCCCCTGGTAGGAGAAAAGGAACAAAGAATTGTCCCCTGGGCTCCTTCCCACTCCACAACAGGCTACCTGGTGCACAGCAGGTGTGGTCACACCCTTCAGTCACCAGGGACAAGAGTTGCAGAATATTTGCTTACACTCTAAAGATGTATCTTTGCCAATGCACCTTCTGATTGGTTTTAATAAAGAGCTAAATGGCCAATAGCTAGGCAGGAAGAGGTTAGGTGGTACTTCTGGGGACCGAGAGGACACTTGGAAGGAGAAAGGAGAGATAAGCCAGATGTGGAACAAGTCAGACACACACAATGGGATAGAGGAAAAACCATGAGGTAGAATGCAGTTTAATAAAAATGTGGGTTAATTTAAGTTATAAGAACTAATTGAAAACAAGTCTAAGCTAAAGGCTAAGCTTTCATAGTTAATAGTAAGTCTCCATGTCATTATTTGGGAACTGGCTGGCGGGTCAGAGAAAGACTCATTACAGACAGGGTGCAGCGTGTGCTGAGATAATAATAGATTATTTAGGAATCTGGCATTCTGGGGTGTGAATGTGTGTGTGTGCTCACTTTGGACAAGCAAAAATGTGCCACTTGCTTTTTAATATTTTAAAGGATGCAGGTAGACAGGAGACTTTGGCATGAGTAACCCCAGACTCACACACCGATCAAATGGATTCTTGAACTTCTCGAGTGCTTAGAGTGTACACACTTTAACTTGAAAAATTACCAGGTTTGTCTAAAGAAAAAATTTCAAACATAAAACATGAAGCTCATTTGAAGGGAAAAATTCTCCAGTGGAGTGAACCCAGCCTGTCACAGGAAAGTTAAACCAGGCATAAAGGAAAATGTCAGCTGTGTGGGAGAACCAGCTGTCTCTCACTTTTTTATAAAAAAAAATTATTTTTATAAACTACATCAGATTATAGGAGAATATATGAGTGTGTGAGGCTGGGCATCAGGAGGCCAGGAGGGAGTGGACCTTACTCCCTCAAGGGTTGCTCAGCTCTCTCTGGGAGTACTCAGGATTTTTTTTTTAAACTCTAAAAAAAGTACTCTAGAGTGACACATTTATAAGCAGCGAAGAATTACTCAAATAAGAGACACTGTCAGCTGTTTATTTGAAAAGCTTTTTACTAAAGGATGAGGGGGAAATAAAACCTCTCTTGTCTTCTTCATGCTTTTTCAACAGGGCGGCCAGTGAATTCCTTCCGGGCTCTATTCTCTTTCGAAGCCTGATTTCTGTTTCTCCCTCCCTTTCCCACCTCTAGCTGAACTATCTGCCCACCTCCCAAAAAGAAGAAAAGGGAAGGGAGTCTGGCTCCATGAGAGTGTGTTGGAGACAGAAGATGTAGTGCTTGTAGGGTGCAAAAAGGATTATAATGAATTCCAGAAATGGTACCCAGCCAGGAAAAGAAAAAAAAAGCAAGACAGAAGAAGGATGCAGGAGGGAGGAAAGGAATGCAGAACAAAAACAGGGTGTATTCATTATTTTCCTTGTTGCTTTCAGAAAATACCTGACAAAGGTGACTTAATGAAAGGGTCCCGTTGGCTCCAACTGTGAGAGTGCATTGGACGACAGGAGTGTGAAGCAGCTGGTTATGGTGCATTTACAGTGAGGAAGCCCAGAGCAAAGGATGCTGGTGCTCAGCCCGCTTTTTCATTTTTATTTCACTACGACCCCAGCCCACTGGGGGCTGCCACCCATGTTCAAGGTGGGTCTTCTCTCCTGTGCTAAACCTCTCTGGAAACGCTCTCCCAGACACACTCAGAGAGATGTGTTTCCATGGTGATTCCAAGTCCAGTCAAGTTGACAAGACTGGCCATCATCAAAACTGGGAAGTGAGCTTCAGTTCAGCTCTTGAGTTTTCAGGAAAGGCCATGCATCTAAGGCGTGGTCACTCGGGTTTGGTGCTGGCCCCAAAGCTCCCAGGAATTCTCCTGTCTCCACCACTGAGTGCTGGGATTACAGACACTCTGGCTCTGAATCTGGCTTTTGCATGAGCTCTCAGCATTTGAACTCAGGTCCTCAGGCTTGCATGGCAAATGCATTTACCCACTGAGCCATCTCCCAGGACCCTGCTTGTCTCTCTGCTTCTCAGTCACAGTGGGGGACTGTTGGAGCCACTCTGTCATGCATTCCTGCTCTTTCCTGTTGGGTCTGATCTCTTTCTCCAAAGTTTGCTCCATCTGCAGAGATATTCCTGGATCCCATCTAGCCTGCGAGTCGTTTGAGTACATATTCAGGGCCAGGATCAAGTCTGGTTCTTGTTTATGCTCCCTAGTGCTTGATTCCGAATAAATGCACAATGGAAAGGCTCAGGTAGTTACCCATCTTAGCAACACGCTACTCCAAGCATTGCGTGTATGTTAGTTCAAATCCCCAGAGCACCCTTAATAAAGATTTGACACTGGCTCACATTGTAGAGATGAGTTATCTGGAGGGGTTGAATGACTTGTCTCGTGCTATTTAGCATGAGGGGAGGGAAACTGAGGCTAAGCCCAGGTGTCTGGAAGGTCCTCATTCAACCAAGACACCAATTCCTTCCTAAGCCTCACCTAATGCTTAGTTTTCTGACTGAGCAATTTAGTCAGAACCTTAATCATATGCCAGACTCCAAATATAAGATCATTCTTTGGTTTTAATTTGTGTTTGTTCTGGATGCTTACGTCCATGGCCTGTCACCCTCTCCACTCTACCTAAAAATGCACAACACCAGCACTTCATGTCACTCAGACATGTAGTTAGAATAGCCCAGAAAAGCCCAGAGTTCTAAACCCCTTGTTTGGCAGATTTGCAGGATCATTATTTAGGATAAACGAATGATAGTGTATCCTTCCCACAATAGGGCTGGCATGAAACCATTCATGACCCTGACGATGATAACTGCATTGTAAGGCTACAGTTATTAGTTAGTGTAAATGTGAGATCTGGCATCTCAGGCCCCACTTTACCCTGAAGCCTGTCTGCCACACAAGGGCTGCCACTCCAGAGATCACCCTCTTCTCAGCACCACACAATCTGGAAGTATAGAAAATGTTCTCTGAACTCTCCTCTGGCTAGTCTATAAAAGAATCCATAAGTAGGGACAGCCAGAGGGAACGGAACATCTGTGTGGTAAGTCTTCCTCTCTGGGCTAGCTACGACAGACCAGTGCCTGTCTTTAGTCCTACACACCCACAGGAGGCACTATTCCTACCAGTTCAGTGTGTGTAGAGCTCTCTGGAGCCTGACTCCAAGGGTCCCTGAGTTAGACTTGCATTTGTACCCGGGCCGTGCTCTCTCTTGTGGGGTAATCTTAGGCCACTGATATTTCTCTGACCCCCCAATGTCAGATGGGAACAGACATGGCTGCTCCTGTCTCACGGGACTGTTGGGAGGGTGAAGGGAGACAGTGTGATTAAACAGCTAAGAACAGAGGGTGCAGCAGCAAGAACTCAATATGTCAATCATTTTTTTTTTTTTTTGAGCCTGAGCAAGTGGGGAAGACACAGAGGAAGTGTTCAACATCTGTTCACTAATGAGTGACTTTCTCCCCTATAAAGCCTGGACCTATGGTTCCTCCTCCAGAAGATTCTACTGGAAGGAATCAAGTTTCCTGGTGCCTTAGGTGGAATATGGCAGCCATCAGTACCTGCTTAAGGTGTCAAGAAGGGGTGAACAACATAGAAGAGAAAGGACTACCAGACTGTGTTACCCTGGGCAGGACTGGTAATAAGCATGTGCTGAGGACAGGAGGCTACACTTGCTCGCCTTCCTATGCACAGCATGCTGAAGATGCAGAAGAGGGACTCTAGTTGATGCTGTTTCCCATAGCTTATCCTTTCTCCACAACACAGGCCATCCTGGCATCTGTATTCCCAGCCTTGTCATTCTGCATTCCCCACCCCATCAACCAGGAGAGACATACAGACCTTGTACAGGCATGGAAACTGTCCTTTCCAGAAGCCAGGCAACCTGAATCCTGTTGAACTACAGAACTCTGTCCTTGCACACACCCAGCATCCATCAGCCTTGGGTTTCTTGTCTCTATCCTCAAACAGCCAACAAATTCTGTCTGCCTTAAAAATATCAAATGAGATACCATGGAAGAAGTTTTAAAGGCATATGCATGTCACTTTGTATTGCAGGGATTGGTTCCAGAACCCCCGCAGATACCCAAATCTGCAGGTGTTTGCATTTTAGGTAAAGTGCATTGTACCTGTGCCCAGCCTAAGTACACAGCTAGACTTTAGATTGTCTCTAGATTAACTTTAATGCTTAATGCAATGTCAATGTCACCTGCATTGCCACTGTGCCACACTGTCGAGGGAAGAATGACAAGGAAAGAGTCTGCACATGTTCCTTGCAGATGCAAGTTTTCCTTGAATTCTTTCAGTGCATGGTTGATTGAATCTGCAAATATAGAGCCTGTGAATACTGAGGGCTGATTGCATTGAGCTACTCAAAGCTGGTGTAAATGATTAGACATAATAAACATTAATCTACTGTTGTTCCCAGCAATGCCAGTGGGCTTTACACTATCCACAGACTGTCCAGTTGCCTCCCCAATAAGACAACATATAAGCTGGTATGGAAGCAGGAGGAGCTGGTTCAGGCCTCCTCTGCTCCAGGATGGCTATAAATGTGGCCCAACACATTTGTATGATAGACAACAGTGTCAGTTTTTTTTTTTAATCACTGTGAAAATCTATAACACAAAAAAGTCATCCAAGGTAGAAAGTAAAGTATATGCAAAGGCCCTGTGGTAGGGAGGAGCTTTTGAACATTCTAGAAATTGGCAGAAGACCTTGGTATCTAAAACATAGCAGACAGGGTGCAATTGGAGAGATACATGGTATATAGCAGATGCCTGGTGGTATTTGACTACTAGTAAATTAATTGGTGAGTGAACAGGGCTGCAGCTTGGGTCAAGGAAGCTTATCTCTCTGTACCCTTCTGGTAATGCACATTTCTGCAGCAGCACTGAATACATCTGGCAACATCCCTCTCCAGATTCTGTGGAGAGAGACCCCTGTCCAGGCTTCACCAACTCACCTGGCGATCCGATGCCAGCTGGAGGCCCTGACCTTTCTACCTGACTGACTCTGTCCACTTTTCTCACTCAGAGAGCCCCCCTCCTTCCCTCCTCCTCTGGATCCCTGTGGGGGCCACTGCCTATGTTTATGGAAACTGAACATGTCATTCAAACCAGCACCTCTGGCCTCCCAACACTGGAGATCAGTGGCCACTGTTTTCCCTCTCTGTCACTGGACTTTGCAAGTGAAGGCTGGTCTCCCCGTGGCTGTTCCCAGAACCTCGCAGACGGTAATGAGTCCGGGGTTGGTGTTAAGCTCAGATGTCAAACAGAGTGGCCAGGGCCTCCCGAAACGCCAAGAGAGCCCCGAGCTTCTCCCTCTACAAGGTCAGCTTGTGCGTAACACTTCATTAAATTGCTCAAACACTGAGCCGTGTCTTTAACCAATACCTTTAATGTCATTTTCTGCAGACTTAATAGAGGGGCATTAGCATACCTGTCAAGTCTTCCCATTTCAACTTGGAAGCCAGTGAAGTTTAAAGTGCCTCCCTCATCCCACAGTGGATTTAGCTTCAAACTTGGGTTTAAGAAAAAGAAAAGAAAAAAAAAAAAGGAGGAGTTGGGGGAATCCTCTGCGGGGCTGTGTGACGGAGTAGGGGATAGTGTCTCTGTCTTGGTTTTCTTCTAAACCTGTCTACTGCCTCCAGGAAGTATATCTGGGTTAAGAGCTATGGAAGGCAAGCCTAGGCAATGACTAGACAGTGGCTTAGTCTCCTGCTCCCACTGTGTGCTGCACAGAATGGAATCTGCAAGTTAGCTTAGGAGGAGACAAAGACCAAATCGAGAGGATGTTATGACTCCCATCACTCATGTGGACATCTGGTTCTTAAAGTGATGGTGTTACAAGTGGGCTGTAGTAGATATTGCCTGTAAAGTAAAGGATAGTAATGCTATAATCCACAGACCCAGAGAAGCTAAGCGACAAGGGAGCCTCAAGCGGGGACTCGTGGATCTCCTTGGGAAGGGGAAATTGAATAGACATCATGAGTGGACTGGGGGAAGGCAGGGACGGGAAAAGGAGGGATCAGGCTGGGGAAGGATGGAGGGAGGGAGTACTGAGAGAGGCGACTGGAATTGGGGGACATTTGGGAGTCAAGGTAGAAGCCTAGTACGATGGAAACTCCCAGGAATCTACAAGAGTGACCCTAGCTAAGACTTCTAGTAATGTGGGACACAGAGCCTGAACCAGCCATCTCCTGTAGCCAGGCAAGACTTCCAATCGAGGGACTGGGACACCAATCCAGCCACAAAACCTTTGACCTACAATTTGTTCTCTCTGCAAGATGTGCTGGCCAACTAATGACTGGTCCACCTTGAGACCCATGCCACAAGAGGGAGCCCATGCCTGACACTGCCTGGAGGGCCAGGAGCCAGAGTTTGATAGCCC